TCAGCCTGGAGAAGAGAAGGCTGCGGGGAGACCTGATTGCGGCCTTTCAGTACCTAAAGGGGGCCTATAGGAAAGATGGGGAAAATCTTTTTAGTAGGGCCAGCTGTGACAGGACAAGGGGGGATGGTTTTAAACTAAACCAGGGGAGGTTTAGACTGGATCTAAGGAAGAAATTCTTTACAGTGAGGGTGGTGAAACCCTGGAACAGGTTGCCCAGAGAGGGGGTGGAGGCCCCATCCCTGGAAACATTCAAGGCCAGGTTGGACGGGGCTGTGAGCAACCTGATGTGGTTAAAGGTGTCCCTGCTGCTGCAGGGGGGTTGGACTAGACGACCTCTAGGAGTCCCTTCCAACCCAAAACATTCTATGATTCTATGGGAAAACCCTGATGCCGTGGAGTCCCCTGAACCGTTCGTTTCTTTCAGAATTATCAAATTCTTTTAAAATAATTAAAAAAGAAACCAAACCCAACCATGCTGAGCAAAGGTTCCTTCACCAGCTGAGGCTGGGGGTTCTCAGTTCGTCCTCGCTCGCACACGGATGCTTCAGAACAAGCTTTATGAGCAGCCAAAGCCAACCAAGGGCTGCTCATCCCACCACCAAGCTCCACCTTATCCAGAAATCCTTCCAGGAACAGCAAGATTTACTGCTCGGCTACTCCAGGAGCAGCTTGGCACAACCAAAGACTTACTCCAGCCCCATCCTTCCTCACTCCCCACGTGCAATCCATCCATTAACCAACTCTTTTCCCAACTGGAAAGCCAACGTACACCCCCACCTATTTTAAATCCTTTTTTTTTTTTCCCCCCTCGTGGAAATGAGGCCGCAGAGGATTTTTAACTTGATATTCCGCAATATTGAACTGCGGCACGCGCTTCGTGCTGGAATTTAAGGCTTAGGAACCCTGGGTTCTCAAGAAAAGATCGCGACGCTCAACTAACGAGCCTCGTCCGAGCACAACCTCTGGCCGCTGTGCTTTACAGCGAGGCCTCGAGAGCACGGAGATGGGAATTGGTGGCGGGGGAGGGTTAGGGGGAAAGACGTTATCCCGGCTCCAAGGTGGGAAGAAAGTCACCCCACTGATACAAGGAGAGACGCTGGAGCTACAAAATCAGGTCAGGCACCGATGGAGGAGCTGCCAGCGTTCGGTTACGCGTAAGCCAGAGCAGCTGGAGGGCGAGCAGCTCCTTTTCTGTGCCGTTACAGCCCGGAGCCGACCTTCTCCAAGGGATTTATCTTCCCCTTACTGTGTTCCTTGTTATTTCCTGCCCAGAGCAGGAAATTTGTAGGTTTTTACTAAAGCCTATCCCATTCCCAACCGGTGTGGTGGCAACGCGCCGCAGGCAGGAGCGCGGCTGCGAGTAGCGGCCACTGGCGCACGGGATCCAAGAGGAGAAACCCAAAATGACGTTTGAAGGGACAAGAATCCGGGGAATGATTCGGCAAACCCTTTCCGGGGCGGTTAAAGCGAGCAAACGACCAAACCAAACCGATTTGATAGAGGATGCATCATTTCCTAGGAGAGTTATGGTTTTGGAAGCGTAAGAGCGGAGCCACATCGCATTTATTCGTATTTACTCCTGATTTTTACTTTGTCCGACGGAGTTTTATTTATTTACGGTGTTAAAAACACGGTGTTAAGCGGTCGCCCTGCAGAAATATGGAGCCCTGGCTCAAAATTCACAGCGCACCTTAAGAAATACGAAATCTCCGGGGGAAGAATCCTGTTTATGAGCCCTTAAACAGTAACGTGGATCAGTGAGGAGCCAACTACGTCGCAGAGCCGAGCATCTACGGCGGCGCCGGCTACAAAAACCTCACTGCAGCAGCGGAAGTCAATCTATTAATCCAAATTAGTTGCTTAAACTCAGATTAAGTATGAGATAGCGCCTTGTTTTCCTTAATACTGCTCTACAAGTAGCTAAGCTCGTGAGAATGAGGAATAAAAATGATTCCTTATAATAATTATTTCACTGAAGAACCCTAAATTTCAGCCACTGCTGGAAATGCCGCACCCTAAGTCCCAAATTTGGGGTTTTTTCCACAAGACGCGGATGAAAATTTAGCGTAAAATCCTATTTTATGGTTACAGCAGGCGAGGGGAGCACGGCCGAGCCAGCTCCGGACGCTCGCTTGAGTCACGACGCTGGAAAAGGCAAGAACGAGACTGCCGAGGCGCAAACCAAACAGCGATGACTCTTTAACGAGCAGCAGATCGTTACCGCGTCTCCTCGCCTCGTGCCCCGCGCTCACCTGTCCCCACCAGATCCGTAGTGTCCTCCTTGCATCGTGTCCGTGTCCATGTGCGACACCATATCTAAGCGCTGGTTCATTTTCGCGATGACGGCGTCGGCGTTGCCGCCGCCCGAACCGTCGGGGTTCATGTCAACGTCCGAATTGGCCATTTCCCAGGAGTTCGACGTGGCCATGCCGTATCCGTAATTACCCGAATTATCCTGGCCGTAGCCATAGCCGTAACTGTATCCCTCGTAACCTGGAAGGACAAAAAGAAAAGAGCTGGGGTTATTTCCAGTTATCCGGCTTCACTAATATTTTAATTTCAATTAAGATGCCCCAAGCGATCGCCACAGGGAGTTAAGATTTAAAAAAAAAAAAAAAAAAAGGCTCAAATTTCTATTTAAGTCACCTATAAACTTTGAGCCATTGAGCTTACAAAGGTTTAAGGGAACAATTTCCTCGTATATGTCCCATAAAATCAGCCACAACCTATAGGTGACCTGTTCCGGAGAGGAATAAACACGGCCAAGGCAGAGCATCCATAAAAACCCATTTTTGGGTGAATGCTTTAAGCTGGTTTTTTAAAGTTTGATACAAAGTTGTTGGTAGCCGGATGAATGCACAGGGGATGTAGCTGCACCAGGACATCTGTAAGTGGCTTTCGACGCCCTTAAATCCAAAGGGTCACAAAATCCCGGCCTGGCCGGGGTTGGAAGGGACCTCAGGAGGTCACCCAACCCAACCCCCCACCCAAGCAGGGTCACCCAGAGCAGGGGGCTCAGGACAGTGTCCAGGCGGGGGTTGAAGATCTCCAGAGAAGGAGACTCCACAGCCCCCCTGGGCAGCCTGGGCCAGGGCTC